TGATGGAGTCTTTGGGGTTTTCTATGTATAGTATCATGTCATCTGCAAATAATGACAGTTTCACTTCCTCCTTTCCAATTTGGATCCCTTTTATTTTTTCTTCCTGTCTGATTGCTGTGGCTAAGACTTCCAGTACTATGTTATATAAGAGTGTTTGTGAAAGTGGGCATCCTTGCCTTGTTCCTGTACTTAAGGGAAATGCTTTTAGTTTTTGCCCATTGAGTATGATGTTGGCTGTAGGTGTTTCATATATGGCCTTTATTATGTCTAGATATGATCCCTCTATTCCCACATTACTGAGCGTTTTTATCAGAAATGGATGCTGGATTTTGTCAAAGGCTTTTTGGGCATCTATTGATATGATCATGTGGTATTTATTCTTCATTTTATTTATGTGGTGTATCATGTTTATTGATTTGCGAAAATTGTACCAGCCTTGCACCCCTAGGATGAATCCCACTTGGTCATGGAGGATAATTTTTTTGATGTATTGCTGGATCCGATTTGCTAGTATTTTGTTCAGGATTTTGGCGTCTATGTTCATCAGGGATATTGGCCTGTAGTTTTCTTTCTTTGTAGTTTCTTTTTCTGGTTTTAGAATTAGAATTATGCTGGCTTCATAAAACGAGTTTGGAAGTCTTCCTTCTCCTTGAATTTTTTGAAATAGTTTGAGGAGAATGGGTGTTAGTTCTTCTTTGAATGTTCGGTAAAACTCCCCCATGAAGCCATCCGGACCTGGGCCTTTTTTGCTGGGCGAGTCTTGATTACATCTTCAATTTATTCTGTTGATATTGGTCTGTTCAAGTTTTCTATCTCTTCCTGGTCCAGTTTTGGGAAACTATGTGTTTCTAGAAATTTGTCCATATCACTTAGATTGTCGAATTTGTTGCCATATCATTGTTCATAGTAGTTGTTAACCATCTTTTGTATTTCTGTGGTGTCAGTTGTTACTTCTCTTTCATTTCTGATTTTGTATATTTGGGTTCTCTCTCTTTATTTCTTGGTGAGTCTAGCTAAGGGTCTGTCAATCTTGTTTATCTTTTCGAAAAACCAGCTCTTTGTTTCATTGATCCTTTGATTTGTTTTTTTGGTCTCAATGTCATTTGTTTCTGCTCTGATTTTTACTATTTCCTTCCTTCTACTTACTCTGGGGTTTTCTTTTTGTTTGCTCTCTAGTTCTTTAAGTTGTGAGGTTAGATATTCTATTAGAGATTTTTCTTGTTTTTTGAGGTAGGCCTGTAGTGCTATGAACTTCCCTCTCAGAACTGCTTTTGCTGAATCCCATAGCTTTTGTGTTGTTATGTCTTCATTTTCATTGGTTTCTGGGAAGTTTTTAATTTCTTCCTTGATCTCCTCGGTAACCCATTCATTGTTTTATAACATGCTATTTAGCTTTCATGTGTTCAAATGACTTTGTGTGTTCTTGCAATTGATTTCTAGTTTCATGCCATTGTGATCTGAGAAGATGCTTGATATCATTTCAGTCTTCTTGGACTTGTAGAGACTTAGTTTGTGCCCTAACATGTGGTCTATCTTTGAGAATGTCCCATGTGCACTTGAGAAGAATGTGAATTCTGTTTTTTGGGGTGTAATTCTCTGTAGATATCTATTAAATCCATTTGGTCTAGTGCTTCATTTAAAATCTCTGTTTCCTTGCTAATTTTTGTCTAGAGGATCTATCCAGTGATGTCAGCAGGGTGTTGAAGTCCCCTGCTATGATTGTATTGCTATCGATTTCTCCTTTGAAGTCCTCCAGAAGATTTTTAATATATTTTGGTGATCCTATGTTGGGTGCATATATGTTTATCAAGGTTATATCTTCCTGTTGGATAGATTCTTTCAATATTATGTAGTGGCCTTCTTTGTCTCTAGTTATGACGTTCATTTTGAAGTCTATTTTATCAGATATAAGTATTGCTACCCCAGCTTTTTTTCCTTTTGGTTTGCTTGGAAGATTTTTTTCCATCCCTTCACTTTCAATCTATGTGAGTCTTTTGTTGTGAGGTGAGTCTCTTGTAAACAACATATAGATGAGTCATGCTTTCTTATCCAATCAGCTCCTCTATATCTTTTTATGGGAGCATTCAATCCATTTACATTTAAGGTGATGATTGATATGTACTTATTTATTGCCATTTTTGTTTAGTGTGGTTCTATTTTTCTTCCCATTTCTCCTGCTAGTTATAGCAGTCCTTTTAACATTTCTTGCAGTGCTGGTTTGGTGCTAATGTGTTCCCTTGGCCTTTTTTTTTTTTTGTCTGTGAAGCTCTTTATTTGACCTTCCATTTTGAATGATAGCCTTGCTGGGTAGAGTAGTCTTGGATTCAGATCTTGTTTTTCATGACCTTGATTACTTCATGCCATTCCCTTCTGGCCTGTAGTGTTTCTTGTGAGAAGTCAGCTGAGAGCCTTGTGGGGTTTCCTTTGTAGGTAACCTGTTGCTTATCTCTTATTGCGTTTAGGATTCTCTCTTTGTCTTTAATTTTTGACAGTTTGATTACTATGTGTCTTGGTGTGGGCCTGTTTGGGTTGTTCTTACTTGGGTCTCTCTGTGCTTCTTAAACTTGAATGCCTTCTTCCCTCACCAAATTAGGAAAGTTTTCTGTCACTATTTCTTTGAATATATTCTCTAACCCTTGCTCATTTTCTTCTTTTTCGGGGACTCCTATGATGCGAATATTATTATGTTTCCAGTTGTCCCACAGTTCTCTTAAGCTGTCTTCCTGTTTTTTAATTGTTTTTTCCTTTTGGTTTTGTGATTGGTTCATTTTTTCTACCCTGTCTTCTGCTTCACTGATCTGGTCCTCAGCTTCCTCTACTCTGATTTTTAGACCTTCCAATGTGTTTTTCATTTCTGATATGTTGTTTTTAATTTCCAACTGGTTGATTTTCAACATTTCTATGTCTTTACTCATGGTGCTCATGTCCTTACACATGCTGTTGAGCTTCCTCAAGATCATGGCTCTGAATTCTAGTTCTGTTAACTTGCTTAACTGCAACTCATTTATCTCATCTTTGGTAGAGGTCTCTTGTTCTTTCATTTGGCTTTTGTTTCTGTTTTTCACCATTTTGGCTATCACAGTAGGCTTTGGAGTCTGCCAAATTTTCCCTGTGGGTGTTAGTGTTCTGCTGTTTGTGGTTCCCTCTCCTGGGTTTGGATGAGGCAGGGAGGACCCACTTTAACCACCACTGTCAAGTCTTAACTTTCCTCTAGCTTTTTTTTTTTTGCCTGGAGGCTATTATTAGAGGTCACCTAAAGAACCTTGGTTTCTGAGGTGCCTGAAAAACTCCCTCAGGTGCTCAGTGTAAGAGGATTTCCTGAGGGTGGGGCAGATGCTGGTTGTTAATGGGCCTCAATTAGCATTTCAATGGCCGCCAGGTGGGGTTGAATCTCTGAGGGAGGGGCCACCGCCTCTCCCCAGGGCCCTGGGAAGGAGTAAGATGACCACCGTCCTGTGTGGCTGCACTCAGCAAAAGCTCTGATCACCCTCCAAGTCCCGAGTGTCCCTACACAGTTCCAGTCCAGTCTGCCTTCCCTCTGCCAGAGCCCAAGGTGAGTGGCTGCTGCCAATTTAGCCTCTGTCCAGACTCTGCATCATGGAGCCGCCTGGGACTTTTAACCCTATGGCGCTGCTCTCAGCTAAGGGTGGCCGAGTCTGAAGCACCAGCCGAGGGCATAGCACTCAGCTGAGTTCGCAGGACTTAGCCGCAGTCACTGCCGGCAGCAGCTTCCCGCCGAGTCCCCTGGTCCCAGTCGAGTCCATGTGGCACCAGCCGAGGGCTTAGCATGCAGCTGAGGTGGCAGCAGCTTCCAGCTGAGTCCCCTGGTCCCTGCCGAGTTCGCTGGTCCCAGCCCAGGCCGCTGCGGACTTGGGCTCCCGGCCCCCTCTCACGTCCTCGCAAGCCTACCAGGATTGAGTCAGTGTCCCTGGTTATGTGGTTCTCCAGGCTGCCTTTCGGTTGCTCCTTCCTGATGATTTGTATTTATTTTTGTTGTAAACCCAGTTTGGTCCTGGGAGATGGTCTGTGTAGCTCCATTCACTCTGCTGCCATTTTCCAGAAGTCAGTGGGTGGAAATCCTTATTCAGCATTCTCTACCAGTTAAGGGAAAACTGTGTTAATTTGCATCTTGCCTGCCTGCTCATAAATTTATTAAAGAAGGTTTACATTTTTTTTAAATTCAGCATTTTTTAATTCTTTTTACTAGAAAGATATCTGGCACCTAACCCACCACTTGTCTGATATAGAAGTCCTGCTTTTAGATACGTTTCAGTGGATTGTCAGGTTTTAGCTAATGATTAGGATGGGGTTGGGAAGAAAAGGAAATGAAACAAATAAAAAGATTGATTGAACAACTCTATTTCTGACTATATTTCAAGTCTACCTTTTCACTGTAGAGTATATATACACAAGGACTGGCCAACTGTATCACAGAAATTCAGTTTCTCTCTTTCTTTTTTTGTTATTCCTCATTCAAGGCTCTTTTTCCATTGCTTTATAAAGAGAGTGGAAAGGAGAGGGGAGGAGAGAGAAAGAGAAACATCAATGTGAGAGAGACATATTGATTGGTTGCCTCCTGCACAACCTGAGCTGGGGCCGGGGAACGTGCCTTTGACATGGAACTGAACCCAAGGACCAACACTCTAACCACTGAGTCAAACTGGCCAGGGCCAATGTTTCTCTCTTAATCTCTACTCTTATTGAAAAATTAGAATAAAGAAACATGTTTTCTATATCATGAACCCATAGCTACATTGCAAGGTAATTTTGCCCTCTGACCAAAAATGTCCAGTGTGAAATAAAAGGGGAGACACTGGGTGTAATCCAAAGGCTGAGTAAGATTATTTGATGGGTTAAGAGCCAAAGGCAATCTATTGGTAATGAAGTTGTGATTAACATTTGCACATTCCTGATTGTTGGTCAACTGATTTAAAGATTATGATTTATGTTATTGTAAGCTCCAGAAATAAACAGTTGATTATATGTTTTCTGTTTTATAGTGAATCTGCAATAATGAATATGACCTCTGGGAGTGGAGAATGTGCATTTTTAACCTCAACAAGAATAACAACTATCAATTGCTCTAACTCCTACAATTGTATCTGTGAGGTGGACATTTCCTTGGCTTTTAGCATAACCAAGAGGGACAGGTAAAATGGATTTTGTCATTTGTGATGTTTTTCCTGTAATAATATGTGATTACTTAACAAAGCCATGTTTTTACTACAGGACTTAGTCCACTGTAGAAACAGAGATGAGTTGGAAGAGAAGAACATGCTCTTTTGGACAATGATTTGAGAGATCAGGCGTCATCAGTGTTCTTGGAGAAGAGGAAGAGATTTGTCTTTGGAAAGCATTTGCCCTTCTCTTTAATGGGTCTGGGAAATTATTCTTTCTTTCTCTTTCCCTGATCTACCCACAGTCCAGTTAGAAAAAACTCATAAATACCTAGGTACTTTCCTTGTTTTTAGAATAAATCATTGCAATAGCCTCTGGCTTTGAGAGAGACTCCAGTTAAGAACTAAAAAGAAGTTATCTTTCCCCTCATGTAGAAGCTTACCTCTCATCTTTAAAAATATATTTTGCTATAATTTCAAACTTACTGAGTAGTTAAAACAATAGTATAAGAAACTCTCATATAACCTTTACCCATAGTTACCATTTGTTTACATTTTATTATCTGCACTTTATTGTGTTCTCTTTCTCTCTCTCTGTCTCTCGCTCTCTCATGCCTCTTGCTCATCCTCTTGATAATAAATTGGGAATATTATGTCTCTTTCTCTAAATAGTTTACAATACTCAGTCTTGTATAACCATAGCACAATTATCAAAATCAGGAAATTTAGCATTCATATAGTACTATGCTTTCTTCTGCAATCCACATTTACATTTTGTCAACTGTCTCAATATGTTATTTATAGTTGTTTTTCCTCCAGATTCAGGATCATGCAATGCATTTAGTCCTGATGTCTCTGTAGTCTCCTTTAATCTGAAACAGATCTTCACGCTTTCATGGATTTTCTTGAACCTTCACATTAAAAAAAATTTTAACCTTATTGAGTTATACTTTGCATGCAAGAAAATGTATCCATTTAAATCGTGAGGTCATGGGTTTTTTACAAATGTATACACCTCTTAAACACCATCAAATCAAGATATAGAACATTTTTGTCATCTCCAAAAGTTCCTTTCTGCCCCTCCCCACCCACCTGGACCCGGGTAACCAATGCTATGTTTTCTGTCACTATAAATTAGTTTTTCCTGTTCTAGAATTTCATACTTCATGTACTCTTGTAGCTGAACTTCTTTTTGTCAGTATGTTTTTGAAATTCATTGGTGTTTTTCTTGTATCAGTAGTTCATTCTTTTTGTTACTGAGTAGTATTCCATTGTACAGATATGCACAATTTGTTTGTCCATTCACCATGGACATTGGGTGTGTTTCTAGTTGTTTACCTGCCATGAACATTTATGTGCAACTCTGTGGACATGTGTTTTCATTCTATTAAATACCTAGGAGTTTGATTGCTGAGCCTTATGGTAAGTGCATGTTTAATTTTATAAGAAACTTCTAGATTGTTTTCCAATGTGATTGCATCATTTTACTTATGCAGTAGCAACATATGAGTTTTTTTCCTCCATGTCAATGACTAAGCTAGTTATTGTCAGTCTTTTTAATTTTAGCCACAAAAGTGGGTGTGTAGTGGTATCTCGTTGTGGTGTTTAATTGACATTTCCCTGAAGACTAATGACATTAAGCATCTTTTCATGTGTTTCTAGCCATTCATATTTCTTTGAATGTGAAATGCCTATTCAATATTTTGCCCAGTTTTCTTAAAATTTTTTTTTGTCTTCTTATTGTAGAATTGTAGGAGTTCCTTATATAATTTGAGTACAAATCCTTTATTAGATATATGTTTTACAAATGATTTCTTCCAGTCTTTTTGTTGCCTTTTCATTTTCTTAATAGTGTCTTTTAAAGAGAAGTTTAAATTTTTTAACGAAGCTTAATATATCATTTTTTTCCTTTTACTGTCCTATCTAAGAAGTCATTGCCTATATCAAAATCACAGTGGTTTTTGTCTTGATTTAGCTTCTAGAAGTTTTATAGTTTTAATTTACATGCTTAGATCATACACATTTCAATTCATTTTTGTGCATAAGAAAAAGGCTGGGGCTTACAGTTATTGCATATAGATATCCAGTGTTTCTGTACTATTCCTTTTTTTTTTTTTATCCTCACCCGAGGATATTTTTCCATTTTTTGTACAGATAGAGTGGGAGGGAGAGAGAGGAAGGGAAAGAGAGAGAAACATCAATGTGAAAGGGACACATCGAGTGGCTGCCACCCGCACGACCAACCAGGGCCGGGGACAAACCGCAACCGAAGTACGTGCCCTTAGCGGGAACCGAACCCGGGTCTCTCCGGACCGCAGGCCGACGCTTTAACCGCTGAGCCAAACTGGCCAGGGCGTTTCTGTACTACTTGTTGAAAGACTTTCCTTTCCTCTGTTGAATCACTTGGATACCTTTGTAGAAAATTAATTGACTATAAATGGAATCTTTCATTTTCTCAACATTTCTTCGAAGATGCCTGTTTGGAAATGCATTGAATCTGTAGATTAATTTGGGAGGATTGACATCTTAACAATATTGAGTGGTACAGTGCACATGATTTATTTAGTTAGGTCTTTTATTTCTTTCTATTTAGTTAGGTCTCTTATTTCCCTAAAAAATGTGGTGATTTCAGCATATAGATCTTTTACATATTTTGTTAAATTTATATTTTTGATGCCATTGTAATGGCATTTAACATTTTTCAAAATATTAGTGGTTAGTTTATAGAAATAAAATTTTTTTTTGAAAACTGATGTTATCTTGTTAATTATTATTTCCAGTAGTTAAAACGTGTTTTCTAGCTTCATAAGGATTTTTTTTTTCCACATACACAATTATGTCCTATGAGAATATAATAAGTTTTACTTCTGTCTTTTCCTCAGTTTTGCTCTCACTTTGTTGCACTGGCTAGAACACCTGGTACAATGTTGAAGACAAGCAACAATTGCAGTCATCCTTGCCTTGTTCCCAATCTTACGGAGAAAAATATTTAGTCTTTCACTTCCAGGTGGGATGTCAGCTGCAGGTGTTATTTGTGGATCCTCTTTATCATGTTGAGAAAGTTCCATTTTACTCTTGATTATTCACAGTTTTATCATAAATAGGAATTGATTCTGTTTTATAATTTTTCTGCATCTATTGAGATGATTATACAGCTCTTTAGTCACCTAGTATGGTAAAATTATATCAAATGATTTTTTTATATTAAACAAAACTTATACTTTTTGGATAAATCTCACTAGGTCAGATATACCACCATTAAAAAATCTATTGTCAGATTTCCTTGGGTAATATTTTGTTAAGAATTTTTGTATTTAGCCCTGGCCAGTTTGGCTCAGCGGTTAGAGCGTCGGCCTGCGGTCCGGAGAGACCCGGGTTCGGTTCCCACTAAGGGCACGTACTTTGGTTGCAGTTTGTCTCCGGCCCTGGTTGGTCGTGCAGGTGGCAGCCACTCGATGTGTCCCTTCACGTCGATGTTTCTCTCTCTCTCTCCCTTCCTCTCTCTCCCTCCCACTCTATCTGTACAAAAAATGGAAAAATGTCCTCGGGTGAGGATAAAAAAAAAAAAAAAGAATTTTTATATTTATATTTATGACATTTATTTCATTTAAATATTGACAATTTTATGTTTTAAGAAATCTGTCCATTTCCTCTAAATTATCAAAATTATTGTCATATTGTTTTTTCATCAATGCATTAGGTTCCTAAGCCTGCTATAACAAAGTACCACAAGCTTGATAGTTTAATAAACCCACAAGTTTCGTTTTGTTAAACCTTACCCGAGGATATTTTTCCATTGACTTTTAGAGAGATTGGAAGTGAGGGAGGGAGAGAGATAGAATAAGAGAAACATCCATGTGAGAGAGACACATCGACTGGTTGCCCCCTGCATGACTCCAAACAGGCCTGGGGACCAAAACCACAACCCAGGTATGTATCCTTGATGGGAATTGAACCCGTGACCCCTCAGTCCATGGGCCAACTCTCTAACCGCTGAGCCAAACTGGCCAGAGTAAAACCCACAAAATGTATTCTCTCACTATTCTGGAGAGTAGATCTCCAAAATCAAAGTGATTGTATGCTTCTTCCGAGACTGTGTGTGAAATCTTTCCTGACTCCTGGCGTCTACCGGTGGCCATCAGGCCTTGGCATTCCTGGGCTTGCAGCTGCATCCTTTAACTGCTGTTTCATCACAAGGCATTCTCCTGTGTCTCTGCCCTCACATGCAGTCTCTTCTTTTTATTTATTTATTATTTTTATCCTCACCCGAGGACATTTTTCCATTTTTTGTTCAGATAGAGTGGGAGGGAGAGAGAGGAAGAGAGAGAGATGGAGAGAAACATCAATGTGAAAGGGACACATCGAGTGGCTGCCATCCGCACGACCAACCAGGGCCAGGGACAAACTGCAACCGAGGTACATGCCCTTAGCGGGAACCGATCCCGGGTCTCTCTGGACCGCAGGCCGATGCTCTAACTGCTGAGCCAAACCGGCCAGGGCAGTCTCTTCTTTTTATAAGGACACCAGTTATATTGGATTTGGGCCAACTCTAAAGACCTCATTGTAACTCAATTATACGAACATATGATCTATTTCCCAAAAAGTCACATTCATAGGTTGCAGGGGTTAAGAATTAGAGATATCCTTTTGGAGAACACAAAACTTAAATCCATAACAATAATATTGCCCTTTTGTCTGTTTACTGTGTAGAATCTGTAATTATGTCCTTTCTTTTTTGATAGTGTTTGTATTTGTTATTGTTGTATTTCTGTTATTCTTTCTTGACCAGTCTAGCTAGAGACATACATCAATTATATTGAACTTGTTGATGAATCAGGCTTTTGTTCAACTGATTTTTTATTACTCCATTTTTCATATTATGTATGTCACCTTTTCTTCATTTTCTCTCTTTGAATGTAACTGCTTTTTTTTTTTTTTTTCATTTATCTTCAGATAGAGTGGGAGGGAGAGAGGGGAGGAAGAGAGAGAGAGAGAAACATTGATGTAAGAGGGACACATCAACTGGTTGCCACCCACACGACCCCCACCGGGGCCAGGGACAAACTGCAACTGAGGTACATGCCCTTACCGAACCTGGGACTCTCTGGTCCGTGGGCTGATGCTCTAACCGCTGAGCCAAACTGGCCAGGGCAAATTTAACTGCTTTTATATTCCTGCCTTTTTCAGTTAAATCTTATAAATCCTTTTGTTAGACTTAGACCTTTGCCTATATGAGGTTAAAATTAATCCT